ATAAAATTTTTTTTTTTTCGATTTCTTAATTTTTTGTAATCACACAGCTGTAACACACAGCTGTTTCTACAAGCTTTTTTCTCTTTTGGGCTTTCTCCAGTAACTGCTTATTCATTGACGATGTCTGAACACTGTACGATAATCTATAGTGTGCAAAACACTTAATTATTCTTTTGTTAATTTATAGGATAGTTTTCTATATTTCAAATAAGGTAGACACATTTTTGTTTCTGTTTTTAGACTTCAGTGATTACAGCATTACACCAGTATAATTTTCCATGTTCGTTTTTTTAAATTTTTAAAAAAAAAAAAAATTAGCATATTTAAATGATTGCAAAAGGTCACGTTCATTATGTGGACAAATTTCTGGATGCATGCAATTTGTCATTAGAAATATTCAGTCATTTTATAGAAAAAGATGGTGGATGCATTGAACACTCTGATGCCGTTGCATGATAAGTTTTCAGTAATATATTTTTTTTTTTAAATTTAAACTTTTAAAAAAAAAATCCAAGCACATATTTTAAAATTAAGATCTCAGTATATTATTGCTGGTTAAACAAGTAAAAACCTATTCGTTAAATTTTATGTTTCATAAATATTTTAAAATTTCTTTTAATTTTTCTCATCATTTATAATTTTACACTATGCTTATTGGTTAGCATGTGCCCAGTTGTTTATGGTCAATGCTGCTGATTGGCTGTTTCTGTGTTTGTAGGCCCACCCAGGCAGCTCACAAGCTCCTTCCCATGCAGTACTGAGACCACCTACTTTGACACCAGCTGTTGCTGCTGCAGCCACTCCTTCCCTTTATGATGCTGTAAGCTTTGATGCTTATTAAAATTTAAGTTTTTGCCATACAGCTTGAAATCTTGATGATGCTTTTTCTATGTTGTGTGTTGTTCAGCTGCATTGCTATATCTAATTATATAACTATGTGTCATGTGTAGTTATTCAGTCTTTCTCAGACCTGATGTGTGCATGAATGTCTGAGGCTTTTGCAACTATAAATAATTTACGAAAAGGTCACTGCACAATACCTGGCACAGATACTTATCAATTCAACTTAAATTTGAAGAGAAAAAAATTATTTTAAAGAAATTGTAGGGATTGATTGTGTAATTATTACAAATTAACTCTTTGAGTCCCAAGGAAAGCATCATACGTTTCATAGGTTTCTACTTGGATGCCCAATGAACGTATGATACACAGATTTTATGTCTCTCTTCCCTACCCCTTTGGGCCTGCGATGCTAAACCCCCTGGGACTCAAAGAGTTTATGCATTTGTATTAAATACATATTTTAGATTTACTGTGCTTCGTGTACTAAATGCAAGCTTTAACAACTAACTTTGATCTCTAGACCTGACATTTGAGAAATTAGTCTCTAAAGAACAGTGTTTTTTTTTTTTTTTTCAGAACATAAATTGTTGATAATTTATCAAGAATTAAAAATCAGTTCTCGATAGTCCAACACATTTATTTTTAAATTAATGTCCCTGTTTACAGTATTACTCACAGTATGATATTTGTTCTTCTTCTTTGTCTTCTTCTGCATTCTGAGCCCTTGAGGTTCATTCTTGCAGATATCACTCTCTTCTATTCATCTCACTGATTGGCCTTCTCTTTAGGGTTGGTGATTCAAATGTCTGTAGGTCTGCCTTTCTGTTATCTCGCCGCCATCTTCTTGGTCTGCCTTTTTATCCACTCCCATGATTTGTGTACATAGTTGTTGACTCTCTGTTAACTGCCATTCTCTCTATGTGCTCCAACTATTTATTGCAGTCTAACAGCCCTCATGTTGCCAGTTATTTTTTGGTGATTTATTCATTATAAATATTGTTGTTGCTTTTCACTCTCCATTCTCCACTAATTTCATCTTTGATGAGTGCCAACAATTTTCACAAAACTGTTCTCACACAATAAGGCTTTGGCTCTTATAGTTGTAGTCTAGGTTTCAGACAGTTTGAAGACAGTTAGTCTTATCCGTGTTTTACATGCTGTGATCTTAGTGTTACCAGATAGATCATTTGATTTTAGCAGATGTTGTACTGCATAAGACACCTTTTTTTCTGACTCTGGTGTAGATTGTAGTTATTCTCTTTATTTGTTGAAGAAGTTAAGATTTGTACTTAAGTGACTTGTCTGTCTCTGTTCTTTTGTCAATTTGTCTGTGGTTGCATGTATCCATTCTTTTGTCTAAATGTATGTGGCTGGAGCTTTCCTCCTTTCCCTCTTGTTTTTACCATACTTGTACCCACTGAGAACCCATTTACTCATTTATATTTGAGAATTCTCAGATCTTTGTGTTGTGTCTCTATATGGGCTGTTTCATTTGTACCTGACCTTCTTGAAGTCCTGCCATGTGGCACACGTTCTGCCAAATATTTCTGATACAAATGCCCTCACTCCCCATGCCAGGATTCTACACTGTATCTTCTTTCTTAGTCTCCACCTGCTTTCTGCACTCATATTTCCCTCTCTGACAACATGTCCAGAGAATGTGAACTAAGTTTCTTTTGATTTCGGTAACCAGTTTTTTTTTCATGAGTTAATTTACAAGGTGTCACAGTTATGTTTTTCATCCTATCTACGTTGCTCTCATCCGTCTTCTATAAAACCACATCTCTACAGCTTCCACATAATTTTTCCATCTTCTACTTCTGTAAATGATTCACTTCCATACATCAGGGTTGACTCTTCATTGCTCTTAATAACAATTTAATGGACATTTAAGTGAATGTTTGGATTCTCCTGTAAAGGTAAAATACAACTACACAGTTAAATTAGTGTAGCCACTGACTTTGTTGTGCTCAGCCACTGACTTTGTTGTGCTCAGCCACTGACTTTGTTGTGCTCAGCCACTGACTTTGTTGTGCTCAGCCACTGACTTTGTTGTGCTCAGCCACTGACTTTGTTGTGCTCAGCCACTGACTTTGTTGTGCTCAGCCACTGACTTTGTTGTGCTCAGCCACTGACTTTGTTGTGCTCAGCCGCTGACTTTGTTGTGCTCAGCCGCTGACTTTGTTGTGCTCAGCCTCTGACTTTGTTGTGCTCAGCCACTGACTTTGTTGTGCTCAGCCACTGACTTTGTTGTGCTCAGCCACTGACTTTGTTGTGCTCAGCCACTGACTTTGTTGTGCTCAGCCACTGACTTTGTTGTGCTCAGCCACTGACTTTGTTGTGCTCAGCCACTGACTTTGTTGTGCTCAGCCACTGACTTTGTTGTGCTCAGCCACTGACAATTGCTTGCTTGAGTGTGCTCATGTGCAGTGTGGCACCTGGCTGCAAATAGTAGTACAGCTAGTCACTTTATTTCATTGCATTGTGGTCTCGACAGCTGTTACTTTAACTTATTCTGTCTGAAACTGGTGTTACTTAGAAGCAATAAATGTTTGAGTTTTAAAAAAAATGTTGAAATAACACAATGGACCAAAGAAATTCATGTTATAGTTGAGAAAGAGTGGGTGGGAAAATTAGTATAGTAAAAGGCATTGAAAATACATTTGTCATGTTTTGGTACAGAATGAGTAAGTGAACTGTATGTTATGCCTAGGAGCAGCCATTCTGTGTGTCCTGAAGAAATGTAATGAAGACAACAAAAACGACAGTTGAATACTATGGCTGGTGGATTAAATCAGTATCCTGGAATATAAATATAATTCAAATAATTTTATAGTTTTCTAACAACAGTACTCAGTATTTCAAGTAGGAACAGCTGTAAACAACCGTGGGAATAGACAGTAGCACAAATGGCGCTCAGTAAATTGGTGAGCACAGGGGATGATAATTAGAATGTTGAATACAGCATTACAATAGTAAATCTATGCAGCTCCAGTGACCCTTACGCAAACAAAATTATCAGCCATTGTCAGATACGAACAAAGCCATTTTAGTTGTCCCATTGCAGGGGGAAACTCATGCAGGGACTATATTTAAAAAAGGCATAAAAGTATATTTGAATTGTTAAATATTTGAAAAGATTGACCAATACCTACTCATTCTTTGTCCTAATGTGTAGGCATTCATCATTGTTTTAAATAATTGTACTAGAATTAAACATTAAAAAAAACAAAATTCACAGTAGTTTCCCTCATTAAGTTTCCTTGCTTGCTTACCTACTTTACATACCTTCCCCCAGACTTACTGCCTGTTAATAGAGGTGTGCCTAATTCATTACTAACCTGAGCATTTGTATTATCTGTCTGCTTACTTAGTTTATCTGTTTATAGAGTGGCATGTCTGTTTGTTAATCAGTTTACCTGTGAAGTTACCTCCTTGTGTGTACAAGATAACACATCTGCATACCACTTGAAATAGCTGTGTGTCTGTAAACTTTGCTGCGTGTCACCTACAGTATCTAAAGATCAAGTTACAAGCATACCATTGTACCTGCTTATATATCTCCATGTCACATTACCTGTATAGTCCATTTATCCAATCATATCTATTTGTACCAGTTTACTTGTCCAGGTATCAAATGACATGTTTACCTAACACCTCATGTCTGTATAATAGCTTATCAGTCCCTGCATTTGAACTGTCTGCGTTTGAAATAAATTGTGTGCTTTATTGTGACTTCAAGTAACCACATGCTTGCCTTCTGTTTACCGGGCTATCTTTTGTTTACCACCTTGCTTTCTATTTGCAAGAGCATCTTCTGTTTACCTCTTTGCTTTCTGTTCATTTGCACTCAGATGTCTGTTTGCCAATATCTATTGATTTACCTGTAAATCTGTCAGTCTGATTTTCTGCTTATCTGCTTACCTACCTGTACATCTACAAACTACCGCCAGCCAGCCAGCCAGCTCATTTTTTTCTGCCCACCTACTTAAATCACATGCTTACATGTTTGTACATCTGATTACATGTCTGTCTGTCTGTGTCACATGTCTGTCAGTGTCTGCTTATTTATCTGCCTATTTGTGTAACTGCAACTTTACCTCAACTGTTGAAGCCTAGTCTGTTGACAATGACGTATTCTAAAATTGCATCCACAGACGCATTACCCTGGTCTCCAAGCCCTATCTGCCATGCCAGCGCAAGCTTCTGCTGCCACCTACAGTCCTTTCCTAACATCCTTGGCGTCCATGACAATGCCAGGAAACGGAGATGCAACCTCAGTTATGTCACAGCCACTGACACATAACATGATCGCAACAAAAGCAATTAGAGCAGACAAATTTGAGGTATGTATGGATGGTTAGAAATCAAGTACCTGTAAGGTATTGTGGGGGTGATGTAACACTTGTCACTAGAGTTTTTAAAGAATGCTCATTGTTTGGTGAGATTCTGCTGTGGTTCATGTCTACTCAATAGTCTGCATGGTGCACCTCAGTTTTCTGGAACTGTTTTTTGTAGAACTTGTTCTATAATCTTCCTTGTTAAATAGAAGTAGAAGCTCATTCAGTGTTTACATTACTGCTATAAAACCACAATTGATCCTCATCTTTTGTGCCAATTCTATTATATTGACACTTTCTACAATTAAGAATGTAAGCCAACTGTAATTTTTTTTAAAGCAATAAAACCACAAACGCTATAGTAGCCTTACAAATCACCAATATAATAATTTATAAAGGTATTTAAAATAATACTGTAGATTTTGTTATGCTATCCAAATACTCTCTTTCACTAAAGCACATTGAATTAGACATGAGAACATATATGTTTAACTTGGCTTGTGGGTGAAAACTGTAGCAAATATGAACTTCTGGTGTTTTAATGGTGTATCACTGCTGGACTAGGTGTGCTTGAAGAATTTGATTTTAATTATGTATAATTTGATGTGCTATATATGTGTAGATTGTTTGATGCTGTCTGTTTCTAAAATATTACTTATCAAGTACTTTTTGCTTTCAGTAATCTGCCTGTTGCTTAATTGTTCATATAAGATTGGTAAAAGTAACATTATATAGTCATTATACAAGGCAAAGGGTGACTCTTAGAGTGTACTGTGCATGTATATGAAATATTTATATTCAGTCTTTCATGAATATAAATGGTGTTTCTCTTGTGTGTGTATGGTGGCGTGTGGGTCGGTGGATGGGTGGTGGTGTGTGGGTATAGTGGTGTGTTGGTATGGTGGTGTGTGGGTATGGTGGTGTGTGGGTATGGTGGTGTGTGTGTATGGTGGTGTGTGTGTATGGTGGTGTGTGGGTATGGTGGTGTGTGTGTATGGTGGTGTGTGGGTATGGTGGTGTGTGGGTATGGTGGTGTGTGTGTGAATGGTGGTGTGTGGGTATGGTGGTGTGTGGGTATGGTGGTGTGTGTGTATGGTGGGGTGTGGGTATGGTGGTGTATGGGTATGGTGGTGTGTGTGTATGGTGGGGTGTGTGTATGGTGGTGTGTGGGTATGGTGGTGTGTGGGTATGGTGGTGTGTGTGTATTGTGGTGTGTTTGTATGGTGGTGTGTGTATGGTGGTGTGGGTATGGTGGTGTGTGTGAATGGTGGTGTGTGGGTATGGTGGTGTGTGGGTATGGTGGTGTGTGTGTATGGTGGGGTGTGGGTATGGTGGTGTATGGGTATGGTGGTGTGTGTGTATGGTGGGGTGTGTGTATGGTGGTGTGTGGGTATGGTGGTGTGTGGGTATGGTGGTGTGTGTGTATTGTGGTGTGTTTGTATGGTGGTGTGTGTATGGTGGTGTGTGTATGGTGGTGTGTGTATGGTGGTGTGTGTGTATGGTGGTGTGTGTGTATGGTGGTGTTTGTATGGTGGTGTGCATGTATGGTGGTGTGTGTGTATGGTGGTGTGTGGGTATGGTGGTGTGTGGGTATGGTGGTGGTGTGTGTATGGTGGTGTGTGGGTATGGTGGTGTGTGGGTCGGTGGATGGGTGGTGGTGTGTGGGTCGGTGGATGGGCGGTGGTGAGAATCATGTGTTTTCTTTCAGCTGTTACTTTCTCTAATTCTGAGGTCACAGGCTGGACATGTTTGTATGAAAACACTGTCTTACTGATTGGGCAGTGCAGGATGTTTAGCCTGAGGAAATATGGCTGCATGGCTTGTGTAGTAAATACCAGCTGTGCAGGTTATGCCCCCCCCCCCCTCCTCTGTCCCATCTCTTTACTGACAGTTCTAACCAGGATCTCTTGTATATTCTAATCACTCAGTCAGCTGCTGACATGTTTGTACAGTCTATTGCCACGGAGAGGGCACATCACACAACAGAAACTGAAATCTGTACATACTGCAGGGGGCGTGGAAGCTGGTGGGATACTTTCTGGTAGCCGTGATGAAACAGACTTTCTGCAAAATACCTGTTACATGCTGATAATGGAGATAATAATCACAGCACAGAAACAGTGTCACTACCAAACAACAATAATCTTACTGAATTCAAGACAGTTATATGTTTGAAAAGTTATCCTTTCTCTGTGTGGTAATAAGCAGCCCATAACTGTTAATGCATGATCACTTCTACTGCTCAACAATTTCTTCCATGTCTGTAGAAATATGGACCAGTCTGACCAGCTGTCAAACTCTGCCAGCCTGTTCAGATTCCTACAAGTGTATTGGGCATGTGCTACTAGCCTCATATCTGAACAGGCCAATTATTATTTTGTCGGTGATATGGCAGATATCATGCTAGCTGACTTTACTTTCCAAGACATTTCCCAGTATACATTTTATGCAGGGTCAATCTTGGAGTGTAAGTCTTTTCTGCAAAGCTACTTTGAAGGTGACTTGAATCCATGACTACTGTTGTTGGCAGTAGCATCAACGTGTGAGCCTAGGTCAATTGTTCTAACCCAGGGCCTGACTGGTTTTACTTCAGCTCACTCTGTCTCAAACAGTTTATAAACAGTTTGTGTATGAAGGAGTTAAGTTGTGAAACAAAATAAGCAACAGTAACAGCATGAGTTATGTGGCTTAGTTAATATCTAGATAGGGCAAAAGGATTTCAGAAAATGATATATAAATGGAACCAACAAATTAAGGGGCAGCTACTCTGTACAGAAAGAGTTATAACTTCAGGCTTCATTGAGCACTTGAACACGTGACTGTTAGACTGACAGGAATGTGTGCTATCCAATAACATGCTGGCCCATAGATAACATTTGTTTAGTCTTATCTTTACCAGGCAGAGGACAGAGACAGGTGAGCAGGAGCTAGGCAACAATTCTAATGGAAAGATAACATCAAATTAGTTAGTTAGTTAGTTAGTTAGTTAGTTAGTTAGTTAGTTAGTTAGTTAGTTAGTTAGTTAGTTAGTTAGTTAGTTAGTTAGTTAGTTAGTTGGTTGGTTGGTTGGTTGGTTGGTTGGTTGGTTGGTTGGTTGGGTTATCATCATTGCACTCCAGACATGTTCATAGGTGCTCAGATCCTCTCGTCAGTATCAACCCAGCGTCTGATGGCTAATAGTTTCTAAGATAACATCAAGAGATGGATGAAGAAAAGTATGTCAAAAGGCACCACCAAAATTATGGACAGAAAGTGTTGGCTATCAATATAAGACTGGTGGTAGCACATTTTTGACTGTTTGATTCTTTTTAGAAGTCTGTTCTTCTCAATTTACTGATTTAGTTTTAGTCCAAACTGTTGCATGTATCTATAGTTACATGTCAAAGGAAATAAGAACTTGTTGCTTTGCTCAGATAAAAAGTTAACTACTATCCTTAACAGCAGACATGACAGACATGCAGCCGTTTGCAAGCACCCCTGTGGCCTGCAGTAAAGAATATTGTGCAGTAATTGTTATTAAGAGATTTCAGTTAGCTCTAGTGCGTTGCTCTCATGAGATTTCATTTAGCTCTAGTGTGTTGCACTCATGAGATTTCAGTTAGCTCTAGTGTGTTGCTCTCATGAGATTTCAGTTAGCTCTAGTGTGTTGCTCTCATGATATTTCATTTAGCTCTAGTGTGTTGCCCTCATGAGATTTCAGTTAGCTCTAGTGTGTTGCCTTCATGAGATATCAGTTAGCTCTAGTGTGTTGCTCTCATAAGATTTCAGTTATCTCTAGTGTGTTGCTCTCATGAGATTTCATTTAGCTCTAGTGTGTTGCCCTCTTGAGATTTCAGTTAGCTCTAGTGTGCTGCCCTCATGAGATTTCAGTTATCTCTAGTGTGTTGCTCTCATGAGATTTCATTTAGCTCTAGTGTGTTGCCCTTATGAGATTTCAGTTAGCTCTAGTGTGTTGCTCTCATGAGATTTCATTTAGCTCTAGTGTGTTGCTCTCATGAGATTTCAGTTAGCTCTAGTGTGCTGCCCTCATGAGATTTCATTTAGCTCTAGTGTGTTGCTCTCATGAGATTTCAGTTAGCTCTAGTGTGTTGCCCTCATGAGATATCAGTTAGCTCTAGTGTGTTGCCCTCATGAGATTTCATTTAGCTCTAGTGTGTTGCTCTCATGAGATTTCAGTTAGCTCTAGTGTGTTGCCCTCATGAGATTTCAGTTAGCTCTAGTGTGCTGCCCTCATGAGATTTCAGTTAGCTCTAGTGTGTTGCTCTCATGAGATTTCAGTTAGCTCTAGTGTGTTGCCCTCATGAGATATCAGTTAGCTCTAGTGTGTTGCCCTCATGAGATTTCAGTTAGCTCTAGTGTGTTGCTCTCATGAGATATCAGTTAGCTCTAGTGTGTTGCCCTCATGAGATATCAGTTAGCTCTAGTGTGCTGCCCTCATGACAAAACAATTGTGACCCAGATGGCCTTCATGACAAAACAGTTGTGACCCATATGACCCTCCTGACACAGTTGTGACCCATATAGCCCTCAAACACAAATGTGACCTCTATGGTCTTCATGATGAAACAGTTGTGACCTATATGGCCCTCATTACAAAACAAATCTGATATGGTCTTCATGACAAAACAAATGTGACCTATATGGTTTTCATGACAAAATAAATCTGATACATATGGTTTTCATGACAAAACAAATCTGATACATATGGTCTTCATGACAAAACAAATGTGACAAATATGGTCTTCATGACAAAACAATTGTGACCTATATGGCCCTCATGACAAAACAAATATGAATCATATGGCTCTCATGACAAAACAAATCTGATACATATGGTCTTCATGACAAAACAAATGTGACACATATGGTCTTCATGACAAAACAATTGTGACCCATATAGCCCTCATGACACAAATTTGACACATATGGTCTTCGTGACAGAATTGTCACCCAAATGCAGATCTTTCCAGTTTTCACAACATGTTCCAGTTTCCCTATTCTCATAACATGACCCAAAAAATAATGACTTGTCTCTTTCTGATGTATGTGATAAGTTTTCTTCTAGCACTCGCCTCTTTCAAAACATCTGGATTGCTGTTCTTAGCTGTCCAAGGAATTCTAAGGATTCTTCTGTAAAACCATATCTCGAAGGCCTCAAGCAATTGTTTGGCTTCTTTATTAACTGTCCAGGATTCACAGCCGTATGCTAAAACTGGCTCTATATAGCATGCACAAATTCTTTTCGTAACCTCCAATTACATGGTTTTTTTTAAATGTTCTTCATTTTATAAACTGCAGTTTTGTCCTGTGCTATTCTGTTCTTTATTTTAGTGTTACACCTTCCATCAGATGTTATCCATGTGCCTAGATACACTGTACATTTATGTACTAAAATAAGTCTTTGACCTTTATTATACATTTAGGCAGTATAATTTTTTTGGGAAATCACCATTACTTCTGCCTTCCCATTATGCAAACTGAGGCCCACTTTAACACTTTCTGCCACCAATGTATCTATCAATTCCTGTTGAATTAAACTCTAATAATATATCTTGTGACCAAGATTCATTTTTCTGTTGCCATAGCTGATATTTACAGTCAAAATATATTTATTTCCCCCTCAATGGCATGTTTGTGCCAGTGCTGAGTTAACATTTCAAGCCAAAAACTGACATTACTTTTCTACAAAGCATTTTAGCATGTTCATGTAGGTGGATTTAATTTACAGCTACTCCATAGAAGTGAAATGTAGCCTGATTCTGGATTCTGTAGAAATGTTTATCATTAACATTCTTAACTCACAGTAGTATCTTTTTTTTTTTTTTTTTTATTGTTTAGTTTCCACTTGCTGTTATCATTCTGTATTATATTGGTTACATTTGGACTAAAGAACTTTTTTTGATGATGAACTTGATCACAGACGTTGCTGATCTGTTGAACATAGGAAATTACTACCTAGTCATAACTAGTTAAACATGGATAAATCTCCAACAAAGTTTACAGATGGATAGATTGGCTGCTGCTAATCCTCTGGGGAGCAAGCTAGTTTATGATAAAGCAGACATAGTGAAGGCTATCCAGGATTAAGTGGATAGTGAATCCTAACCGATTGATTCTGTGGGGAGTGAGCAAAGGGTCTGGATACGGAAAAAAAAAGATTGTCCCCTCTCATTAGGTTGCTGTTAGCACTGTGTGGTAGCTCGTCACTGACTACTGAAAAAAAAAGGGCAGATAATGTGTGGGAGTGTCCTGATGCAGTGATACCAGTTCTCACTTAATTCATTCTGAAGGGGTTGGCATTAATTTGACTTTTCAAATATGCCAGCCAGCCAGCTACTTTGATGTCACAGAAATCAGCACCTGTAGTTAATTAATCTTCTACTGATGATTCAAAAATATAATTTACTTCTCAATAAAAAAAACTATCTGTTTATGCCTTGTGAAAATCTATGTTGTCTAATTTTACATTTCCTCTCTAGCCAACATCAGATAGTGGTGACACAGTGACATCTCATTCCTCTTTGATGGACACCTATAGTTACCCTACTTTCTTTTCTCAGGTCAGTTGATATAGCTCTACACATTGAGTTTGCACTATCCCTTAGCATTTGTGATCAGAAGATCATGCCAGCTTTGAAGCTTATGATTATATAATGCAAGCACTTATTTATCAGCTATTTACCTGCAGGTTGTTTCAAATTGAATGTCATAACTTTGGAGATGTATATATTTGGAATTTGTAAACTTTCAACATTTTATTTGTAACAAGGATAATAAAGTTTTCACAGCAATATTTTTTAATTAAGCCCCTATATAGTAATATCAGTTTGATTTCTTTTCTATGTATTGATTGCAGTGAAAACGCTTCCTAATTGATGCGTGGAAGACACGACCACTAAGGGATTATTACCTCTGCCTTGGGCTTGTGAGCACCTAGTCACTGCTTCTTCTTCTTCTTCTTCTACATGTTCACCAGCTTTAAACTCTGGCAGAAAGTTCTGGTTGTTCGTCCACATCTTAACTTTAATCTTTTTCCAAAACCTGAGTGTTGTGTGCACATCCAGTAGCAGATCTGGCTTATATGTATACAGACTGTTGATCCCTTGCCTCAGGATGATACACTTTGAAAGAAGTCCTCAGTTAGTTGACTCCAACAACACGCTTGTTGGGGAGGCAGTGGATCTATTCTTGTTTTCCCCACAGTAGTGTCCCACAACCCACAAGGACAAGGGACCTGGTTTTATTCAGGGCAGGGGTTGCAAATTTTGACAAATAAGAAAAGATGGAATAATTTCCCCTTGATTCTTCAGGAATAGATTAAACACCTGGCGATTTTTATGGTGTGTAAACTCAGAGGACCTTTGTTCCCTATGCTCATGTTTAAAATCATGCAGCAGTAGGCAGTTAAAGAAAGAGAAGGACTGAATTTTAAAATGAGAAAACCTATACATAAATTAATATTTATAGCCTGTGTAATTCAGGTATATACACAGTAACATTGTCACTGGCACTAGAGGGCTCATACATTGTGCTGAGATTCTGCTTATGAGAGGGAACTGGCACACGTATGTAAGTGTTGATCTTGCAAAAACAGTGATCCCCTCCCCCTGAACCTTCCTTCTTGAAAAGACTAAACCCAAACAGTTCATTTATCATTTAATACAAACTACACATTCTCAAGTTTGCATGTATAGAAGTTGAACATCTTCAGAATACAGTTATTCTAATTAAGACATTCTGTAGTTTTCCAATGCACATTTGTTTTGTTTTTTACTTTTTGCTAAGATTGTTACGATTTCTTGATAATCACACATTTAACTATTTAGACATAACCAATATCCAACATGAATGTCTGAAGTGTATACCGAGTTTGAATAAACATTTCTGCAGCAAAGTGCCATATTTAGTGCCTATTTAAGACCTATAATTTGAACCAATCAGCTTTGATTCAAGTCTGTCTCATACTGAATATTCAACTTAGCGAGGCAGCATTGCAAGCATTAACAGTTTATTTTCAGTTTTCATGTATCATAACGTGCAGGAAGTCTTTGTATAGACACATCTATATATTATATTTACTTGGAGATTATGTTTACGTTGTTAAGATGGTTTTTGCAGTGTTGGAAAGCTTTCCACTGAAGTAAAATATGTTACGTTTTTGCATTGAGTATAATAAGGTTAAATAAATTTATAGATTTTATTTCATGCTAAATTGTGATGTTTTTGTGCATTATGAGGATGACGGCTTTTAAATATTTGTGCATGACTTGTCTGGGACATATTGGAGCCTGCTGCTTATTTGCATCATAAGTTTGTGCATGTGTGTTCCGTCAGTGCAGTGTAGCAGATGACATGTAGCTTGCATTGGCTTTTACATTGTTCGTCTTTGTAATCCCTACATTTGTGAGTTTCTTGTTATTTTAAGGCAAAAATTTTACATGTTAAAAGAAGAAGAAAAGAAAAAACACATTAACCTGGCTGCAGTCACTCCTGTTTTAACAACACATTTTCACATGGGCCATTTGAATATTAAACGCTCAAACTGAAGAAAAACAAACATTTAATTTTTCAACTCATAACTCACTGTAAGCCTATGATACTAGCATACCATATCCTAAAAAACAGCAATCAAACTGTTCAAATGTCAGAAGAGACTGTTAGAAATGGGCCACTACACCAAAATGATCATTCATCTCTCATTTTCAGGGATGGTTTCAGAATCAGATCTTATGTTCTTTTTTTTTTTATTTTTCAGAGTTCATTTTACTCTTGAATGTGTCCCAAAACATCCAGGAACTTATAATAAATTTCACTTGAACAGAACAGACCAAGTCACAGTTTTTCGCTTACGCACTGGACACTGCAGACTCAATAAACACTCACATAAATTAGGTATGAGCCAAACAGCTCTCTGCCAGTGCCTTCGTGCTGAACAGACTCCAGAACATGTCCTGCAAGACTGTCCTCTCCTGGCGGAGCTGCAGAGCGACATATGGCAACACCCAGTAGAACTGACAACTAAGCTTTGGGGAAACCTAAGAGACCTTGAAAATACATCCCAGTTTATGACCCACAGTGGATTATGCACATGACCAGAGATCGCTGAAGAAGATAATAAATTTATCTGGCTGACAAATAAAACTAAATTTTGTCACAGTGGTGATTTTTTTGAATAAGATATGTAAAAGTATGTAAAAAAGGGTTACTGATATAGTCATTTGTAGATTGCTTAAAAAAGTAGTAATGATGGAAATTATAAAATATGTGACCACCTGAAAGCTTGCCTGCAAAAAAAAAGATCCTTTAGCTAATGCTGAATGTCTCAAAATTTGTATTTGTATGTGTTTGCTAGTGTTGTTAAAAAAAAAGTTAGTTCTGTAAAACAACATACAATGCATTTAAATAAACATAACATCCTAAAAGAAGAGTATTTACATATTGGATAAGTGGATACACCAGGACACAGAGAATTACTCTACCAGTGCCACAAAACTGTCCACATTTATGAAATGTGTGGCAAACTGCTGAATGTAAAATATCTTGGTAAAATTACTCTACCAGTGCCACAAAACTGTCCACATTCATAAAATGTGTGGCAAACTGCTGAATGTAAAATATCTTGGTAAAATTACTCTACCAGTACTTTAAAACTGTTCACATTTATGAAATGTGTGGCAAACTGCTGAATGTAAAATATCTTGGTAAAATTACTCTACCAGTACCACAAAACTGTCCACATTCATAAAATGTGTGGCAAACTGCTGAATGTAAAATATCTTGGTAAAATTACTCTACCAGTACTTTAAAACTGTTCACATTTATGAAATGTGTGGCAAACTGCTGAATGTAAAATATCTTGGTAAAATTACTCTACCAGTGCCACAAAACTGTCCACATTCATAAAATGTGTGGCAAACTGCTGAATGTAAAATATCTTGGTAAAATTACTCTACCAGTACTTTAAAACTGTTTACATTTATGAAATGTGTGGCAAACTGCTGAATGTAAAATATCTTGGTAAAATTACTCTACCAGTGCCACAAAACTGTCCACATTCATAAAATGTGTGGCAAACTGCTGAATGTAAAATATCTTGGTAAAATTACTCTACCAGTACTTTAAAACTGTTCACATTTATGAAATGTGTGGCAAACTGCTGAATGTAAAATATCTTGGTAAAATTACTCTACCAGTGCCACAAAAATGTCCACATTCATAAAATGTGTGGCAAACTGCTGAATGTAAAATATCTTGGTAAAATTACTCTACCAGTACTTTAAAACTGTTCACATTTATGAAATGTGTGGCAAACTGCTGAATGTAAAATATCTTGGCAAAATTACTCTACCAGTGCCACAAAACTGTCCACATTCATAAAATGTGTGGCAAACTGCTGAATGTAAAATATCTTGGTAAAATTACTCTACCAGTACTTTAAAACTGTTCACATTTATGAAATGTGTGGCAAACTGCTGAATGTAAAATATCTTGGTAAAATTACCCTACCAGTACTTTAAAACTGTTCATATTTATGAAATGTGTGGCAAACTGCTGAATGTAAAATATCTTGTTAAAATCTCAAACAGTTAACAAATATGGAAGTTGGTTTGCAACATCCTATAAAGGATATGCAGGTAACTTCTCACTCATCAGCATCAACTCTGGAAAATTGGTTTCCATGCTCAGTTTGCTGTCTGTAGAGCAGCTTCTTGGTCATCATTTCTTTCAGTATGAGCATTAACCTCTGCATGACAACTTGTTAGTCATCATTTCTTTCAGTAGGAGAAGTGTGCATGACAACTTGTTAGTCATCATTTCTTTCAGTAGGAGCAGTGACCTCTGCATGACAACTTGTAAGTCATCATTTCTTTCAGCAGGAGCAGTGACCTCTGCATGACAACTTGTTAGTCATCATTTCTTTCAGTAGGAGCACTGACCTCTGCATGACAACTTCTTAGTCATCATTTCTTTCAGTAGGAGCAGTGACCTCTGCATGACAACTTCTTAGTCATCATTTCTTTCAGTAGGAGCACTGACCTCTGCATGACAACTTCTTAGTCATCATTTCTTTCAGCAGGAGCACTGACCTCTGCATGACAACTTCTTAGTCATCATTTCTTTCAGCAGGAGCACTGACCTCTGCATGACAACTTCTTAGTCATCATTTCTTTCAGTAGGAGCACTGACCTCTGCATGACAACTTGTTTGTCATCATTTCTTTCAGTAGGAGAAGTGTGCATGACAACTTGTTAGTCATCATTTCTTTCAGTAGGAGAAGTGTGCATGACAACTTGTTAGTCATCGTTTCTTTCAGTAGGAGAAGTGTGCATGACAACTTGTTAGTCATCGTTTCTTTCAGTAGGAGAAGTGTGCATGACAACTTCTTAGTCATCATTTCTTTCAGTAGGAGCACTGACCTCTGCATGACAACTTGTTTGTCATCATTTCTTTCAGTAGGAGAAGTGTGCATGACAACTTGTTAGTCATCGTTTCTTTCAGTAGGAGAAGTGTGCATGACAACTTCTTAGTCATCATTTCTTTCAGTAGGAGCACTGACCTC